ATTTCCTCCCTGCACAGCCTCACTGTAGCCCCATACTCCTCCTGAGATGCCTGCCCCTTCTTCTAAAGATCATAATGATGTTACCAACCAAACAGGTAACAATTCCAACAGCTCCTCTGACTGAGTTGCTTAACTAGAAGAGACATGTCCACACATTGCTGCTTATCCCAACACTGTCTCTCTATGGATACAACAAAGGTAAACATGCTGGAAAAGGTTAATATGTAAAAGCTGACAAGGGAAAGGAAGCTTAATTATAAAATCACTTCAACATAGAAACACGGCATTTTTAATTAAAAAAAAAATCATCATCACTTATCAACTATTTCTATCAATTTTATCTTCTTTACTGTTAGAAAACACCTCAGACATAAGGGATTTAAAGTTCTTAAAAATTAAAAATATCAATATTATTAATTTTAAAAAAATCTGTCATCACCTCTGATGAAGCAGAATTGCACAGAAATAGTACTTTTGTTTTCAGTCTATCAACAAATGCCTGTTTTGCTCTATTACTTGTATTCAGTGAACAATGATTAAATCAACTTTCACATTTCTGCTGCTGGAGAAGGTGAAAGAGTGACAGTGAGCAGGATGAGACCAAGAAAGCGAACCTACTTGGTTAAGTTTTTAAACAGAATTGTGGCAATAAGAATTGCCTTTCATGCTATATCAACACTAGGCTTCCTAGACCTATTGAGGTATAACTTGTGGAAAAAAAATCTTACTTCAACCATATCCCGACATCTGTCACCTTCACACTGGGATACACTATTTACTGTAAATAGCATCAAGTTAAGAAACCCCAGATCAAACAATCAGAAATTGGAAACAAAATCATTCTCTGAATTAAATTCTTGCTTGTTATCTAAGCCAATTATTTTTCTTACATTTATACACATCCTCTCTTACACTCTCCTATACAGTTTACATTTACATGTTATTATGTATTAGCTTATAGACATAAAAACTTCTGTTCACACCAATTTGGCCACAGAGTTAAAAATACCTAAAAAAGATATTCAGCCCATGCTCTAACTATAAAGTTTAACACCACTTTAATTTTTATTTTAGTAATATTAGCAATATGGTAATATGTAGCATATGTGAAAATGACTACATGATCAAATATTTCTGCAATAGCAAGCAGTATCAATTGCCATCTTTATGTACTACAATGTTTCATCTTTTTCCTTCACACTAGCTCTGAAATGGATATGGAACAATATTCCATTATTTATCCATAGAATCAATAACATATTTGATGAATTATTAGATGTATCTGCTTTGTGCTCCACATTCCTCTTGCCACCCTCATCGTGTAGAGGGAGGTTATCCATTCTCTGTGGCTGAAGGCAAAATGTCTGCCCAGCACCAGAAATATAATTCACTATGATAAATGCTATCACTAACAAGAATTTATTTTCTTGAAATAGCACATTCAGAATAGCAGTTCAGATAAAGCTAGAATAGATTTTTCTGTTTGTATTACAAAGCGTCCCTGATTTTACTGACAGTTCTTCCCATTTTGAGGAAACATGAGGTGCAGTTTCCAGCATTGCCAAGACCAACCACAACACGTGTATCCTTTCCACTGCTTCCCACAATTGTGAAGTGTGGGGCTGCTTGTTTAAGAGAAGCCAGAACTTGAGAGCGAGCATTGATACCTGTTTCATATATAACTGTTTTAAGCTTTTTTTCCTTTCTCTTTCTTGCTGAACTCTGCTTCTTGTATAGCTATGTTAATCATCAAAATTCATCTTGTACGTAATTTCCTGTTGAATACAAGTAAGACCAATGATAGCATACTCTGTGACTTTTCCACTGAAAGCTAATTAAACCTCCCAGTTTCTAGTTCTGAAGTACAAGCAGGTTCGAAGCTGTCTAAACAAATAGGTGCACTGTGTGAAGAGTGCAGGAAGTTTTGCACTGCGAGCACACTGAAACCTGCAAGCTCATATGCCTGATACCACAGGCAACACGTTCAAAAATTAAAGAAAACAAAGAAAAGAAACAATGAACACAAACACACACCCAGTTGAAGTTTTCCCCTCTAATTTTTAATTTATCCTAAAGTGTTAAAACTAAAATATGCATGAAAACCAAGACCAGTCCTAATACACTGTAGGAAAAAAACCTCAAGAGTTTGGCTTAAAGTTCATACCACAATGATTCTTTAAAAACCCTTCAAGGTAAGAAGACAATAAGGGACAAATCTTACAGTGAATGGGGTAAATTTGTTGAATCTTCTGATAGAACTACGTTTTCAGGTGGTGAGGAGAAGTCAGCTTAGGCGTTTCGATTGGATTTGAGGCCCCTGTTCTGCAGTTCCTGGCTCACACCTGACAAATCTGTTACGAATGTGATGATGTCAAAATACAGCAAAGGCAGAGTTTGTTTATTATTACATGTCACTAGCAGAAGGAGACATTTTTGGGGTTTTTTTTGAGGCTTGGCAAACTCAAGTAACAAGGTAAAACTTTGTACCCAGAAGACTTAACCACATTAAAGCAAAATCTGAAAAAAAATCCTCTTAATTAGCAGTCATTTCCTACATCCAGTTTGAGACCTATAAAAACACAAGCAGGTCTGTCAGATGGTCACCCCGAGACTTACCTAAGACACCGTATTCGGAAAGGGAGCTGTTGCACACAGTATAGGGGGCCTGCTGCTCCCAGAGGTGATTCATGGGAACACAAGTTCTCTTGTCAACTTCTTGATCGTGAAGCACGTGGTGACGATGGCTGCAGAAAGTTGTTGAAAGAAGTTTATTAGCTAAGAGTAACTTTGGGCTTTAACAGAGCTGTAAACCATCAAAGCTATTTTCTAGAGAGCAAGCAGCACAGTTATATTTGCTTTACACAATACCCTGCTTTGGCTGAAACCTAGGGATACAATCACGTGTCTAAATACAACTTCTGCACTATAAGGACTTTCACTGACTATTCAAGGCTTGCTCTCAAGTGCCAGTGAAAACTGGAAACACCTCCTGACTAGTGGAACTTGAGGGGAGAGGGGAAGAAGTTGGGAGCTTGTTGCTATAAATTAGACTGCTTAAAGTAAAAGGAACATAAGAAAAAAAAGTTATTAAAAACATTTCACTCTGCCTCCCTAGCAATTTCTATTAACCTTTTCCTTAAAACAACTGCTTGTCTTTTATGCAAAAATTTAATCTAATCTAACCTCAGCACCAAGACTTGAAGCAGTCGTATCCTCTTTCCTGCTACTTCCACTCACAGGCACTACTTCAATTTCTCCAGAACACCATTAATCAGCACTAGAATGGGGCACCAAGGAACACTACCAAAACATAGACGACTGAAGTAATTACTGTAATCCATTAACTCTCTGAGCAGACTAACTGAGTGAATCACACCAATATGTCCAGCTTTACAACTGCTAACATAAGGACAGTTATTATACTGGTAACAGCTACTGTGTGCTGTACAGCTGGCAACGCCGAACTAAGACTGAGTCTTTTTGCGCTTCCCTTTGCTATAATGAATACTAGCGAAAGAGCTCTGAAATGTGTTTAGAAGTCAGCAATATAAGGCCAGGAAAAGACAGAATCTTCGAGGAACAGCACAAGGAGGCAGGCAGATAGAAACGGGAAAACATACACGTCAGACAGCCGTTAGGCAGAAACCATTTTTGCCACTGTCACTTTATTTTTGTCATGCAGCCAAAGATAAAAGACCTAAATAGGTGATAAGCTTCTTGAGCATGAAGTTTTGTGTTTCCCCAGCAAAACGTGATTACAATGAGCATAGGTTGGCAGCCAGAAATACACAGTCAGATATTGCTGTTGCATGATTGTCAGGTTTACTGACATCAAACCAGTACAGAATGAAGTGTCTCTCTTCCCCGTTTCCTTCCCTTCTCCAGAACATGTCTCCAAGATGAGAAGGGGCCCAGTCCTTCTCTCTGCAGCTTTATCTAGCTTCTGTCTATTGATTATGCTGAGTATGGAAACAGGAAGACAGCAAGCTGTCACACTGGATACTGGCAGAAAGTACTATTTTCTAGACAGCACTTCAGAAGCTCCAAAATAGTGAAAGCACTCTCATCATGTTGTTTGCATTATGGCAATGCAGTACCTCCAGTTCTTCTCAAATTCTAGCTGACACTCCCCCTTCAGCTAGCCCTAGAGATGTGAGACATTACGTACTTAAAGGATTTTGGGGGGTAAAGAAGGGTCTTCTCAGTACAGAGAGGATAAAGTGACATATACTTTCTGTGTGTTTGCAATGTGTTTTTCCGAATAAAGATGCACTGGAATTCGCAAATATCTTCAGTTGTCAGGGAGGTTCCTCACCTTTATCATAAATCAAAGAAACTCAACCACAGCTAAAAAAGAGCAGCTTTACTGGGAACTGCAGTATCTTTTGGATGTGCTTGTACCACAAGTTAACCTTTCTACCTACTCCTCTAACGAAATGAGTGTGAACACAGTAGAAGAGGCTAGGTCTTACACACTTCTACTGTTCTCTTCAACGTTGAGTTGAATATTCTCTGATTTCCTCAGGCCAGAGGCATTTTTTTAATCTCACCCCTTCTGCCCTGTCACATTCATAGAAAAAATTCAGAACCACACCATAGGCCAAGTAGATCCCACTACCCATCAGGCAAACTCAAAACCCAGTAGTAACGCATGACCAGCTTACTATAAATCAAACATCTGCAGTACCAGCTTCAGTCCTGAACTTCACAAGAATTTATCTGAATGCCTTTTTACTCCTCTTCTAAAAGACTGAGTAATAAAATCCAGACGGCACAGGAATTCTTAGTCTTTGCCAGTCTGAATAGTTTTTTATCTAAACACATTCTTTTCCCCTATATTGCTGTGAGCATAACTGTTATTTGTATATTTTTGAGCATCAAGAAAATCTGGATGATAGTTCTGGAAAATCCTCTTTCACCAGTGAAAGAAGTGGTAATACAGAGAACCAGCATTCTCAAGACCAGTCTACAGGCATGTGCTAGGCATGACTAAGCACTCACCTGAGCTGGGTAAGTGGCTAAACCATGAACATGTGTGTTCCTCTCCCAGGAGATAACCCTTTACAAGACCATGGTACTGAAATCAAGGAGGATGAGAAATCAGAGTGGGGCGGGGAGGAAAGAGGGGAATCTCCCGACTTTCAGTTTCCTTTTCCAGTCTTGTCCAAAGAATTTTGCTAAACTGCCATTAGAATGGGAGCAAAAAAAGGAAAGCCCAGAAGACTGGATACCAAATGAAGCACAGAAACAGAGCACTGCACAGGAGAAGACAGACACCACGATTTCTCTCTCTTTTCTGCAGGCATTCACAGAGAAGCACAGTGCAGCTGCTAGTTCATTCACTCCTAGCAGTGGCTTCGCATCAAAGGGTTCAATTAAATACATCATTAACGTTGTGCTCCACAGAGAATCAGGTAAGGCAGCAGAACTGTCTATATTTTACCAAGTGATCAGATTCTGTGTTCATTTATGCTCCACAGTCATTAAAAGCCTCGGTACAAAGGATCTTGTTTCACTTAAAAAAGCTTTGCCCACTGGTAATGTGCTTGCTCACAGGGTACCCGAGTTCCAAGCAGCCACCACTTGAACGGTATTTTAAAAACTTCAGACTCTGCAGCAGCAAATACCCATTTTTCACTTCTCAGCAATTAGTTGAATATTTAGTTAAAAATAAGAGAAAAAAAAATCATTCCT